TTCTGCAGTTGATTCTTTACTGTCAATGCTATTATTTCCAAGATATCTGGCATGTGATTTCCAATTTCCTCAGTGCTAGTGTCTTCTGCAGTTGTACTGGGTGGACTCGGGGCCTGAGACTGCATTTTATTCCTTCTCTTTGTCATTTTTTATACCACTGTCTTCTGTCTGACCTTTGGTGTAGAGCTTAGATAGAGTTATTACCAGGTCCAGATCTATGAAGTTCAGATTTCTCCAGGTGGGTGTTGTTTGGATCTGACTGCTGTGCTCCACTTCTTTCTGCTGCAGTCGTTAGAGTTGAACCCTTTGTGTCTCTCTGGCAAGATGTTCTGCTCCTGAATCACCTGGGTGGGTCTTGCCTCTAGCCTCTTTGCAGGGAGTTCTGCTGAAGGGTTCCGTGCTGGGCCTGCACTCTGGGTCTATTCAGGTTCCCGTGGGTCGTCTCACTCACTCACAGTACCTGCGCTCTGGGTCTAATTCAGGATCCCGGCCTCAGTCGTCTCACTCACTCATGGGGCCTGCGCTCTGGGTCTGTTCAGAATCCCGCTGCCCTGCGTCATCTCACTCACTCGCCATGCCTGCGCTCTGGGTCTGTTCAGGATCCTGCCACCAGGGTCGTCTCACTCACTTGCCGGGCCTGCGCTCTGGGTCCATTGAGGATCCGGCAGGCCCCTGGTCGTCTCCATATTTTTTTAATGTCATTTGTTTTGACTCCTTCTTTCTCCTTGATGCCTATTAGTGTCACAGTGTTCATCTTTCCATCGTCTTGCAGATGATGGATTGTTTCTTCTGCTTCCTAGTTGTTCTTAAGAGATCTTTTCTCATCTTTTCACTAGCTGCACCAGCGTTTTCAAGATCTGAAATTCTGTCTTCACTTTCACTTAAACGGTTTTGCAAGCTTGTGATTGAGATTTTAATTTCCTCTATATCTCTTTGATTGTGCTTCATGAGATCTATTTCTTTCCTGTATTGCTCATTCAAGGAATCGGTCATTTTTCTAATCTCCTCCATTTTTCTGTCAATGTCTTTCTTTAGAAGCAGTTATTAATTCTTTCACTGCAGTGGGGTTTTTTTTCAGATTGGGTTTCCTCTCTATGTTTCTGTAGTTGATTTTTTACTTCAGATGCTGAGTTCTGAGAATTCTTTTCTTATTTCAGAAAATTCCGCTCTGAGTTCCTCTATGACTTTCTGCTGTTGCTTATTTACTATCGGCGCTATTAATTCATAATTTTGAGCTGAACTAGTGTCCTCTGCACTTGTTCTGGGTGGGCACTGGGTTTCCTGCATATGTTTCTGCATTTGATTCTTTACTGCAGATGTTATTAATTCAAGGATTTCTTTTTTCATTTCCGATCTGAGTTCCTCTGTACCTTTCTGCAGCTCTTTCTTTATTTCAGAAGCTGTTGATTCATTGATTTCAGCTGTGTGATTCCCAATTTGTTCTGTCTTAGTGTCCTCTGTACTTGTAATGGGTTGGTTTGGGTTCTGAGATTGCATTTTGCTCCTTCTCTTTGTCATTTTGTGTAGCACTGTCTTCTGACCTTTGTTGTAGATCTTTGTTGCAGTTGTAACCTTAACACCTACTGAAGTTCCGGTGCAGATCTACAAAGTTTGGATTTATCCAGTTGTGCCTGGCTGGGGTCTAACTATTATGCTTAGCTCCTTCCTGCTGCTGCCCTTGGGGGTGAACCTGTTGTGCCCCTGTGGCAAGATGTTCTACTCCTGGACTAGCTGGGTGGTTCTATCCCCTACACTCTCTGCCGGGACTGCAGCTGCATGGTTTCACCTCAGGCCTGTATGCCAGGCCTGATCTCAGTTGGGCCTGGTCTAGGACTGGACTCTTTGGTGTGCATTTTGAAGACAACAATATGTAATATAACCATTGTTAATTTTCTACCATCTCTTAAAATTTTGTATCATTTTTATTTTTCTCTCTAAAATACAAAAATAATTTGGACTTTAGGACAAAGTATATCCTTCCAGACCATAAATTAAGCACTATCAATACCCCTAGCATTATGTATTCCTGATGTGACTAGGGCCTTTAACCTGTTTGTTGATGAATGAAGATCTATGTAGCACTGGGTGTCTGACCCAAATTATTGGCCCTTTGGAAAGGCCCATCATGTGTATATCAAAGAGTCCAGACTGTGTGGCTAAGGGCTGGTCTCACTGCTTAAGAGCAAAAGCAGAAACCATCCTAATTAAAGAAGTTTGGCCCTAGGACAAAATCTAACAGTTCAAGTCCCACATGCTGTTATGGAGTTGTTAAATAGTTGGGAACACCACTGGTTTTCAAATAGACATGTTACTCAATATCAAGGACTGCTTTGTGAAAATGCCTGACTTATTTTTCAATTGGCTAAATCTCTGAACCCAGTGACCTTTTGCCCACTGAGTTTCCCCATCCCTGACCATGACTGTCTAGCTTTGGCTGATGAGATTTTTGCTATCTGGCCAGATCTACAGATGGAGTCCTTGTCAGATGCTGAGTACACTCTGTCTATGCATGGAAATAGTTCAGTCAAGGATGGAAAACATCAGTTGGATATGCTGATTTTTACCATACAGGAAGTCTCCTAGCTGAACATCTTCCACAAGAATAGTCTGTTCAGCAAGCTGAAATATGGATTTTGATACCAATTCTTTTTTGGGGTAGGATATCAGGAACCAAACTTAGGACTACTTAGTTGTTAGGCAGTCACTGTATGGAGTTAAACACCCAGCTCCACCACAAACTCTTAACCGGAGAAAAGGAAAGAAAGTGAGCATGTATACTGATTCAAGGTATGCTTTTGACACTGATCATATCCACAGAATGCTATCCAAAGAAAGTGGACTTCTCGCAGCAAAAAGAAAACAAATTAAAAATAAGGATAAAATTTCTCAACTCCTGACTGCAATTTGGAAGCCTAAAAAGTTGTCATTATCCCCTGTAAAGAACAGAATTATCATCTGGGCATAAACCACCACAAGTTATCAAAGTTTCAGAAATTCATCCATGGATCCTCCACTCTCCAGTTGAAAGGCACACCCAGATGACTGCTGGAAAGTATGTGGATGAGTCAACTCCCCTTAAACTAATGTGGAAGAGACAATGCAAGCCTTGCTTCTATCATGCTGGATGCTACAGATAAATGCTTGATTGAAGCTTGGAAGACAATGTTCACAGAATTCCAAGTGTGACTATTTACTCAAGTCCCTCTTATGTGTACTTATTGTGCTATCCAGCTTGGTTCTTTCTCCCTATCCTCTTACTGCTTGCAACCTTTGCTTTGGCCTTGTGGGCAATTGTCCCAGAAGAGTAGAAGACAACCAGTAAAGCTTTTTGTAAACCTTCTGGACTATTCTAGACTTATTAGCATAGAAACAGGTTTCTTTTTAGGGCACTACAAACTCCTTTTAAAAGATTAACTCTAAATCTCTTCTATTTTGGAGACTGCTACAGCAAGAAAGTCTTTCTAGTCCTATAGCAGTGACATATTATGAACCTTGGAGTTGATAGTAAGTGGCCTAAGCTAATTGATTTAGTCCCACCTTCCTGCTGACTAGAGCAGTTGTTCCATGCCCAACTGAACTGGCTAGGCTCATCCCAACCAAGATTGGTATTACCTTGATGCTCCTCTTAAATCTGTGAGAGGCCATTTGGGCCAGGACACTTTTTTTATGATTGTACTTGATGTAAGTGATAACAAGGGCATAAGGTGCTTTTTGTGTACTGTGTACAGTACTGCGGCCTTGGGAAGGGAGTGGTGGTTATAAATTCAGGAGCTTTATTGACCTTTGTCCATCACACAATCTTGCCACCCACCCCACTCAGACAGTGCCAAGTTTTGAGGATTCAAGCCAGTGTTATGTGCCTCTGATGTAATTGCTTTCTGTGCCTAGTTCTCCCTTGCACCCATGTCTTGGACACCTGCCCAGGCAGGAGGCAGAGAGGAAGCAGCTGAAAGAGTGGGGATTGGTTGACATATCTCATGTTAGCCAAGCCTCCTACAGTGTCCTCCTAACCAGCAACCAGGGTTAAACAAGTCTCAGAGGAGTAGTGAGCAACTTGTGGAGACAAGTACCTCCTGAAAGAAGGTGACAAACTAGCACTGGTGGGGATGGAAGGTTCTGGTCCAGGACGGGAAGAGTATTGGGCAAAGCTGGGAAGGGGACTCAAGAGGATGATTTGCACAGGGAAATTATTGGTTTCTGAGTAATAGTCTCTGGCCATTTCTCTATGATTAGGGAAAGTTTACTCTCTAATCAGTCTCTTCCTTCATTCTCATTGTCTTCTTCCCCCTTTTCCTTCTCCTTTTCATCTCTTCTCTCACTGCCTCTTCCACAACATCCCATGAATCTCCCTCCCCTCTCTGAGCCCTCTCTTCCCTTCTCACAACTCTACTCCTTTCCATCACCTCTGGAGCTCCCTATCCCCTTCCTAGACCTCAGAACCTCCCTTTCATCCCCATCCTCTCTTCCCTGCAGGATGACACAGCTCAGCCTTTCCTGGCTGGGACTGGGGCCGGTTTCAGCTTCCCCTTGGTTGATTGGGCTTCTGGTTGGGGTTGCTTGGCTCCTGGCCCAAATTCTGACCTGGACATATAAATTCTATGAAAAATCTCGACGCCTTCAATGTTTTCCTCAGCCTCCCAAACGAAACTGGATCCTGGGTCATCTGGGCATGGTAAGCATGACAACAGAAGGGGTCTGGGACACTGGAGTGGATGGGTTCCTGAAAGGTCAGGAAGAGGATCAAGAAATTGGGGTTCAGAAGGATGTCTTGGTCCAGGACAGCAGAGAACAAGGGAGGTGGCCCACTTATTCTTTTGTGTCACTTGTTCCGTGGATGTACTGCCCCAAGCTTGTCTTTCATCCCTGTTCTTCCCCCATAGTCTGCTTTCAATTCATTTCAGGCCAGGCTTGCTCATGTTGACACACCTGTGAGTGGCCCTCATGGTGACCTACATGGAATGAAGACTCCTTATGCTTCCATGTTCCCTAGTGCTGGACCTGAGGCCTTGTGAGGGACACTGTCCAGAGTCTGCTCCCTGGATTGTGTCCTTGGGTCAGCCCATCTCTAAGGTTTTGCTTGTTCACAGGAATGAAATGTAATTCCCTCACACAATACAGGGGCATATCTACTCTTTCTCTCTCTCTCACACACACACACACAGAGGTTATGAGCTGCCTCCCCTGTTCCCCTTTCTTTGTAGCTTCAACTAATCTTGTTCTCTTCCTCTAACATGTCATAATAAGCCCTGTTGCCCAACTTGATAAAAAGTTCATCACTCATTTCCCCTTTCAGAAACTGTCTGTGACACCCTCTAACTTCCTTCAGGGCATGCTTTTGTCTCTGATTTAGATCTGCTCATCCCCTTTTTTATTTTTCTTTTTTAAAATTAATTTTATTGAGAAACAAATAGACAGTTTCAAACCCAATTAGTAGGATTGTTTCAACAATTAATACATTGCATATTGTTGTCTTCATAGTGGTTACACATAATACAAGATGCAGACATGATATCCTGTCCAAACACTATTAGTACAAATCGTTTTAATTGAATTAAGAGAAAGTAGCTGTATATCTATCTTAACTATTTTTTATATACAGATACAAAATGGCCCTTCATTTGTTTCCCCCTTTTTTTGTTTAGTTTTGTTAGAGATGGGTATTTCATTGCCATTTAAATATTTTAGGTGTGTGAATTCAGCAAAAGAATCCAATATAGTCTGGTAGTCCATAATCGTAGTGGGTTATCCATAGGACTGGCAACGTCAGAAATTGTTGACTTGAGCCTTTTACAGCTCTGCATATTAATATGGCAATACTTTTTATACTTTGTTTTCATACTTTTCTGCTGGATGGTTAAGACCAAAATAAAGCAAGACCTATATAAGAAGAAATCTAATTTTTGTATCTGACATGTCAGTCAAATCCCTTCAGGATATATCCTGAAACCCTGCACCACAGTTTGAAGATCATTTGTCAGTGTCAGCCCTGTGGATGAGCTACAGTCATTGCTTGACCAATTTGCTCTCTGTGAAAGCCTGAGAGAATGTTTTCTCTCCTTATGATTCTCCTTAGGCACACTACATTGTTGATCACTTTCCTCTGTGGTCCCATAATTTCCTTGATTAGAAAATTTGGGAATCACTGAGTTACAGGATGTTACAGTAGATTCTCTTATGTCCTGAGTTTCAGTGGGTTTTTGGAGAGGATGCTCTTGTGTCACAGTCTACTGCACTGCAGATGCTCACAGGTACAAGTCACCACCCCGCTGGAGACTTCAGAGGTCCTCTCTCTTCTCCTGAAGTCTGTCTACAGTGCTGTGTGAACTCTTCTCCATGAGAGGAACTACAGGTGGGGAGGATCAGTTAGGACATGAAAATGTGTGAAATAAGCCCTAGGGACAAGCCCAGAAGCCATACTGCTGGCCATAAACTAACATGCTGTGGGTAAAGAGATGGAGTCCCTCTATCCTTAAAAATCCAGACATACGTTCACTACAGAGACTATTTCCTCCAGAGGCTAAAGAAGACACCAACTTGACACCCAGAATAGATTTTATGTCAGTGTTCTCCAAAATAAGAGTCGCAATGGGATATGCATGCACCCAAACACATTCACACACATACACACAGAGTCATGTGTAAGTTAACAATTGGGGCTTGTTTTGAGAAGTTCATCCTGGGACAAGTTGTTCCCTGTGTCAGTATAGTATAGTGTATCTTGCACATGCGGAGATGGTATAGCTGACTACACACCTAGGCTATTGGATACAGTATCTTGGTGTTTGTATACAAAGTTGTACAGCATTTTTTGGTTCTGGATACCATGAGTAATGTAACGCAATGGTATTTCTGTATGTAAAAGTATCCAAACCACAAAAATGATGGTAAAATTACTGGGAATAAGGAATTTCTCAGCTATGTTAAAATCTTATGGGGCTAATCTCAAATGTGTTGTAAACAGAAGCATATAGTACATGATTATATATAAAGCTAGTGTATATGCACATTTATATGTATACATGTGTGCATGCATTCCCACTGTTTTATGCAATTCTTATATAATTATGGAGATGAGAACTCCCATCATCTGTCATCTGCAAGCTGCAGAATCAGGAGGCTGATAGTAGAATGATTCACAGAGTCCAAAGTCATGATTATATAGCTTAGGGAGGGGCTGATACTGTTAAGTCCTAGATTCTGGAGTCTTTGACATCCAAGAGCAGGAAAAGAGAGGTGGGTGTTCCATCTCCAGAAGAGGGAGTTAATTCACCCTTGCTCTGCTTTTTCTGTTCCACCTGGATCTCAGTGGATTGGGTGATGCCTGCCCTACACAGGAGAGTGGGGCTTCTTACACATTTTACTGATACATATGCTAATTTCTTTCTTTCTGCAAACAACTTTGCAGACACAACCAGAGATTGTGTTTCACCAGTTATTTGGGCATTCATTAGCATAGCCCAGTTGCCATCTGAACCACACTCTCTGAGGAAGTGACTGCTTCTGCCTTGTTTGCAGATTCCCCCCACAGAACAGGGCTTGAAGGATGTGGCTAAGCTGGTGGACACCTACTCCCAGGGCTTTATAAGCTGGATGGGTCCCATCATTCCCCTCATCACTTTGTGTCACCCTGACCTCGTCCGAGCTGTCCTGAATGCCTCAGGTACCTATGTAGAACTTGTGGTGGTGGGTACCATAATTCATGCAAGGGCTTCCAGCCCCTCTGTCCATACTCCTCTGTGAAGCCCCTAAAGCAACTGAGTTGTTCCTTTCCTCTTCTCCCAGACTCTTTCCACTTACTTTCATATGCTCACCAGTCCCCATTTCCATCTACTTCCTCTCCTGTCATGCTTCATCCCCATCCTGATGTTCTGGACACCACTGAAGCTCCAAGAGACCTAATTCCAAAGCCCTGTCCTGGAGAAACACTCAGGATTGAGGAGATGGATTTGGACAGAGACATCACCAACCTCAAGCACAGGTCAGAGGGAGATGTGAAGTCTCTGTTGAGGCAGGCTTGAAGTCTTCCTGAGGAAGAGGTACTTGAGGAAGTTCTGGAATGATGAATAGGAAGGTTTTTAAGCAGAAGCAGGTGGTGCATTGCACATCAGAAGCATTTGAGGCTCGCTACAAGGTCTCACACCAGCCTTGCCATGCTCAGGCCCAGAGCAATGAGGATAGTTTGCAGCTTGTGTGAGGTCTGGGCTGTGATCCTCCTAACACTCGGCTCTGCTAGACTGGTTTCTTTCTACCTTATCCCATGGCCCATCCCCCAGATGGTCAGTGTCCTTCTGTTTCAGGCCTTAGGAATTCCCCCTGAGACTGGCAGACCTCTTCCCAACCTGAATCCTTCCCTCTGACCCTGCCATCCTTGTACAGGCTGGGCTGAGTAGAAATAGGACTGTAACTCAAAAACCATGGCTCTGGTGCCTAAGTTCTGGGTGACTCTGGGAAGATCTCAAGTTCCTTATAGATACCAATATTTCTTTTAGTTGTGAGTGATAGAAACTCACCAACTTGTAGTCTATATGAAGGAAAGAAAATAATGACTGTAAAGACTTAGTGAGTAGAGGGGTAGTGTCCACAAACATGCCTAGATGCAGGTGTCAATGACATCAGGAATCAGTCTCCTCTCAGTTTTACCTTCTCTGGTGCCACTTTCACTTTCAAGGTAGCCTTATCTTACACTCTAAAGAATAAACCCAAAAATTCAATTTTCATATATTGTCATCAGAGCTTACTAGGGAAAAGATTTAATACAAGACACATAATTTATAGAGTTATTTTACAATATAAACCCAAAAAGTGAAATGAAGATCAGTGTGGAATCTCTGTCCACACACCACAGACCTAAAGAATCCATCTGAGGACCTTGATCCCATGACAATGTCTTCCACAAGCCCATTTGGAGCCCTAAAGCTCACAGCAGGTGTCACTCAAGTCTGCAACAAAGATCTGAATTGGGAAGGCCCAAAAGTCAGTGGAGGAAGCTAGAAAGTCTATACCAGTTGGTGGAGGATCTCTGACAGCAGATTGGGGGATCTGCACTGAATCCAAGAAGTGATGCTCAAGGTAAGGACCAGCACTCCCCCAAAGAGAACTGCAACCATCCTCAGCCACAGCAAAGATCTGAGCTCCTCTGAGGATGAGAATAGCTGAGTTCATATCAAGAAAACCAGTTCAACAAGCTTCTCCAGAAGGATCACAGCACACCATCTTCCTCTTCAATTCCCTTTTTAGGCTGTTGGCAACAATCCTCAGGTGGACCTTCCTCACCCAGAACCACCCAGATTCAGTTCAGCTGGGTGTTGCAAGTTGACCATTAGTTAATCCACCACAGCAGGGGAGCTCACTGCCTCCCCCAACTACACACCTAAGACACTGAGTACAGCAGGAAGAGTTCCGATTAATGACCTATCATATATTTTAGTTGCCCTGGCCTCAGTCATAGAACAAACTCCTCATTCAATCATCATGACTCTGATTACTGACCATGACTCTGAATACTGAGTAATCAGAGTCATAGCATAGGGTTCCCAGTGCTATGACTTTGGGGAACACAAAGCAGTATAATGGTTAATAACTCAGGCTATGATACAGACAGATCCAGAATTGGGACTCAGAGATGTTAGGGTTTGGAAGACACTGGGCAATGTGTTCATAATTCAAAGTTTCAGTATCTTTATCTGGCAGAAAAGAACACAGGTAAAGGTGGTGTTGGGGATCCAAATATGGCAGGACTTTTTATGTCCATGTAACACAGGGATATTAATAGCTGTGATTGTAGGATAAGCTCAGGGAGGCCTGGAGGAACTCAGCCTGAGTATGATGAGCTACTGGAGGTGATATTGAGGCCTCTGTTTGAGTACCGCAACCACATGTCCATCTGTATCATTCAAAGGCATGTACCTTGGGTCTTCTTTGTCCTTTCCAGATTCAGAGCTCAGAGGAAGGTCTCCTGCACACCCAGGGCCTGGCACGCACCTATAGGGATGTGTGCTGCTGGTGGATAGGGCCCTGGCATGCAGTTGTCCGTATCTTCCACCCCTCCTGCATCAAGCCTGTGCTCTTTGCTCCAGGTAGACACTACAGCAACCTATGTCTGCCTGTCACTGAGGTCTCTGTGATACCTCCAGCTGATTGGGTGAATATGTGCAGGCAGGAGGGGCTGTAGCTTTGACACCCCTACCTCTGCCCCACATCAACCCACCAGTCTGGGCTCTGGTCTTGTCTGCTTTGCTCTAAAGTGTCTTTGGGAGAGATCCTGTATAGGCATAACTGATGTATTGACAATTTGTGCCATAAATTTACACTTGGATCCCCACTGTACCTGATGTGTTTTACATTGATCATACCTGAATGATAATTTGGATCTCATGAAGATTGCCATGTTTCTGAGGCTCAGCGATGAACAAGAATTCTAGGAGTATTTTAGGGTTTATGTGGTCCTTGTCTAAGACTGTATTTTCATGTTGCTGGTCATGTCTTGACCATGTTTGGGGATTGTCTGTGATCTTTGATTTTTGTCTAGGGCAAGAGTCAAAGTACATCTCCATGATTTTCAAGGTCCAGCTGAGTCTCATGTAAGCATTATCTCTGATATTAAGAGGGCCATCCTCTAATCTGGTCTGTGAACTGCCTATGGGTCATCCTGAAGTCATTTTATATCTTCCATTGTCCATATCAGAGCATGTTGTGTCATGTCAAGACAGGCCATGTACATTATGTTGAGATGCCTATGTTACATGTCTCGGGTCTAAGGCAAGAGATGTCAGACCTGAGATAGTAGATAGGATGTCATAGGTCTGTGTGAAGATCTCTATCGAGTCTTTTCTGTGTTTGGTTGTTGTAGAACACATTGGATCATGTAAGAGTCAGGTCAAGTTGTGTTGTGATGTGTTAAGCCATGTTAGGCTATGAATTTCCTGTGTTCTGCTGATGCTGCCTAGTTTGGTCTCCTTTTATGTCTCCCCTCCTGCAATTCCTTTATTCCTGGATTCCCTCCTGACATGTTAGGTCTGGGAGGGGGAGGTGCAGACACTGGACTGGGGCCTCCAACTCCCTCCCCCATGCCTAAGACTCCCTTCTTTCTCCACGGTCTCTGATATCTCTTCTTCATATCAGCTGCAATTACATCCAAGGACATGGTCTTCTACCGCTTTCTGAAACCCTGGCTAGGTGAGTACCTGCAGGTGAATGACTTGGGGACAATGCAGGGTCCAAGGAAAGGAGCTGCCATTGCCCACTGCCCATGGATGCCCCACAGGGGATGGGCTCTTGCTGAGTGCTGGTGACAAGTGGAGCTCCCACCGACGCATGCTGACACCCGCCTTCCATTTCAACATCCTGAAGCCCTATGTGAAGATTTTCAACGACAGCACAAAGGTCATGCATGTGAGTCCTCAAGCCCAGGATCCCAGCTGGAGGCTGGAAGTGAAGGAGCAACAGCAGATCAAGTCTAGAGTTCTGGTTCTGATGGGTTGCTTTGAGGCCATTGCTCTTTATTAGTCTGGGTCTTCTCATCTATAAAATGGGGATGAAAATTCTACTTTTTATGTGGTGCTGAGAATTTAATGGAGTCATGTCCCTAGCATACTCTGGATGCTTGGAAGGAGTTAGTTTCCATATTTCTATCTTAGAAGTCATAGAAACTGATCATAGGAAAGAAGAACATCTCATGGAATCTGTAGAGGGGCAACCAGCCACTTCAGAACTCGTTTGTTCAAAGCAGTAAGGACTTACAGATGCTCACAAATGCATATGTCAGGAAGCTGGTTTTTCAGTAAGGGGATAGGTTTATTGATGATTTATGATAAGCCTTGAGTCAGAAAGAAAGCTTTGCTGGTCCTGAATCAGTTCTCTCCCATGTTGGCGGTGTATACATTTTTAGGTTGATTGAGAACAACCTAATTTTGGACAAACAGGCTCTCAAAAGACACATGAGTTGTTCATATGAGAGACACCATCTGGTGAGAGCAAGGGGAAGTGTCAGTGCCTCTTGAAGCTTAGTTTTATTAGAGTTATGAATTCCTTGTTTTTACCACATGTGTTGACCTTTGTCAAAAGTCTTGCACAGAACTTAAGAGGAGATCTGCTTCTAAATAGGGGATTCTGAGCAATGATGTTACACTTTGAGACCCTGAACCAGACACATATGCTTAAATATCACTTTATTTTTTCATACTGAGAATCAAACTCAGGTCCTCATGCATGCCAGGCAAGCACTGTGCTCCTGAACTCCATCCTTTACTCATATGGTTTTTCTCAAATGAAAAGCTAAAATTTTAAGTGCAGTGTAAAGTAGAAGGTAGATAATAGGAAGTATGGAGATAGATCTTTCTCAAAAGAGAAGAGAATCAAGTGATGGAGAAAGGGGAAAGAAGAAGGGAAAACAATGAAAATAGAAATTACATGTTATCTCCATGTATCAACTCTATACAAGGGATGTTAACAGTGTGTACTGCAAACAAGTACCAGTAAAAATTTAAAAACAAGCACATTTCACAGGCTGTGGGTACAGGAAGAAGGTAAGAGTTTCTGGATAGTTGTATGGAGTCCTTTATCCTTCTGAAAAGCTGCTAAATTAGCTCCTTATTGTTTCATGTATTCTACCAGAAGATACAAGATTCCTTGGTTGAATTTTTTTTTCTTGTTCATTTGTTTTTGCAGGGTCTCACTACACAGCCTGGCCTCATAATGATCCTCACTTTCAGCCTCCCCAGCACTGGGATTACAGGCATGAGCTATCATGCCCAGACTGGGGGCCCTGCTCAGCGCGACTGGGGATGAGGCCGGTGTGGCACGTGATGCCAGGCATCAAACCCCTGCCCCTGAGCTTGCCTAACCAGGCACTTAGTCCACTGAGCTATCTCACCAACCCTGAATTCTGCTTTTAGAACATGCAGAAATTAGCTTGCTATTTGTCCAGGGAGAGTCATTTCTTCACCCTTGCATGTTTTTCTTTGCCAACACATCTCTGAGAAATGGTCCGAGTTAACATTAGCGGAGGGTGTGCTTGTCCTGTCAGGAAAGATACTTACTGCCAAGGGATATAACTTTTAGGGTAGGGGTATTTCACTGAATTATCACAATGAAAATAGGAGCATTCTATATATATTAGAAAAGATGCTACATGCCTATTCCATAGCACATGCCATCAATCTTCATTCTCATATCATGTAAGGTAGAAGTTATTTTTGCCCCATTACAGATGGAAAATATGAAGGTCTGACAGATTAAGGAACTTGCTTAAGTTTACCTCGCTAACAAGAGAAGTAGGTGTGGTGGAGCAGGGAAGCACTAGTTTAACTGAGTCCAAAGGAGTTGAGCTTAACTGTTGCTGAAGATTAGACATGTGGGACCTAGGGGAGGCCAATGACCAAGGATTCAGTAAGTGTGGAACACAGAGCTGGGACCCGAATTCAGGGTTCCTGTCTCCCAGCTTTGGGTTTTCCTTTCCTCCTGATAATGGTTTTCATGCCTAACCAAGCCTAGTTTTCCCTACAGTTGGGTACATAAGGCAGGTTCAGGAAGCCGGTTCTGGGGAATCCATCTTGGTGACTGGGGTTGGAGAGGGCTCAAAAGAGTCAAGGTTTGACCACAGCTTCCTTCCCATCTCTGGCCAGGCCAAGTGGCAGCGCCTGATCTCCCAAGGCAATGCCCGTCTGGACATGTTTGAACACATCAGCCTGATGACCTTGGACAGTCTGCAGAAATGCGTGTTCAGCTTTGAGAGCAACTGTCAGGAGTGAGTCTTTTCTTTCAAACCTGGGCCTGGAACCTGGACCATAGAGTCAAGGGGGTGATAGGGAAGGGAAGACTGACCAGAGGGACCAGAAGATCCTTCCTGAAGGAAGTGGGTCAGACTTGACCTTGAATGGCAGGGAGAAAAAGGGATTGTTCTCTCCAGGTAGGTGAATTTGTCTTAGCAAAGGCAAGTAGCTTCTATAGGTAATGTCTATGAAACAGGTAGTGAGGAGATGCCTTGGAAATGAAGTTGGAGGAGTAGGAAGATCTTAAGGAGATCTTAAGGACACTGAAAAGCCTGTCAAAGGGCTGTGAATTTCACCCTGAGCTAACAGGGAACTAGTGAGTGGTGTTTGAGGTAATGTTAGGCATGACCAAAGCTGAGCTCTGTGAAACACTGCCTGTCTTGTAGATGGTAAATGGAGTTGACACTGGATGCAAGGAGGGTATGAATAGCACTGGATCACATGGAATAGAATGAAGTCTTAGCTGTGGAAGTTTCAGGCAAGACTAGACACTGGTTAGGAGAGAAGAGAAGAGATAGTATTCTCCTTAGGCTCTGGGAACCTAGGGTTTAGACGGACCTCATAGAGACTGGATGCAGAAAAAGATGAGATTGTGGACATCAAGTTCTGTGGCTCATCCATACCGTGTATCTGTGAGTCCATGTGTGTGTGGCTACTCAGTTTCCTAGTGCGACATGGCTGCCAGCTGCTGGTGTGAAGGGCCTGCCTGGCTTCAGGTCTGCTGAGCTGTTTCTTCCCTTTATGCCTTCACCCTGCAGCAAGCCCAGCGAGTACATTGCAGCCATCTTGGAGCTCAGCGCCCTTGTGTCCAAAAGACATCAGCAGCTCTTTCTGCACATGGACTTCCTGTACCACCTCACCTGCGATGGACAGCGCTTCCGTCGGGCCTGCCGCGTGGTGCATGACTTCACAGATGCTGTCATCCAGGAGCGGCGTCGCACCCTCAGTAATCAGGGAATTGATGACTTCCTCAAGGCCAAGGCCAAGGCCAAAACTTTGGATTTCATCGATGTGCTCCTGATGAGCAAGGTGGGCTTCTCAAGGGGTAGAATGAATTATATTTTTGTGACACATAGCAATTATGTGTGAATTGGTGTCAACCTATTATCTATCTATCTGTCTATCCATCCATCTATATTATTTATCACCTATAATCTCCTTGCCCTCATCCTCCATTCTTTCTCCTTCCCCAGATCATTTTCTCTCTCTCGAGATATCTAAATACAGACATTGTATTACAAGGATACATACATTGCCATGTTGATTATAGTGCAAATCTCAGTAGCTAAATTATGGAAACAGGCTAGATTCCCACTAACTTATGCATGAACAAAGAAACTGTGGTACATGTGCGCAATGGAGCATGCCTCAGCCATAATGAAAGATAAGCTTGAGTCATTTGTAGGCAAATGGATGGATCTTGAGACCATGATGTAAGTGAAATAAATCAGATAGCGGAGGATAAATGGCTTCTTTTATAGGAGAAATTCTAAAATATAAAAAATTAAGGAGCAAAGTAAAGGTGAGGTAGTGGTAAGCAGGTATCATGCATCTTTATATATCAGATCACATCACTCTGGCTGGATCCAGAAATCACCAAGGAAGGGATGAGCCAGCCAGAGAGGAGCAAATTTCAGATATGGATCTAGAATGGTACCAGAAGTAGAAATCTAAGCCTGAAGTGCTGAAGGGCTTGAGATTTTGTTCTAGAAGTCACTCTAGTAAGATAATGTTCCATAGCTATGTCTGTGTTTATGCCTGTGCTGATAGATACACTAAACTCTTTGATCAGGCAGCCCATTTATTACAGCAATAACAGCTAAGGAGGACAGGAGCAATGGATCCCCTTCTTCATACTTGATCTCAGCCAAAAGTTCGAGAAGTGATGGGTCTCCTTAAATCTCCTTCTCTAGGTCATGCAACCTTTATACCTGCATGGCAGTCGAGTTTAGACCCCAAGAGAAAGGCCAGCATGTTACCAGTTGTGGAGCTGGCTTATCTACCTCTTGTTCCCTCCAGAAAAGAGAAAGATAAAAGAGAGACAGAGGGACAAGAGAGTGAGAACATAGTTCTGGAATATAAGCAATTGCTCTTTGGTACAAAACACGTTTCTCTAGAGGTGATAAATTCTCTGTATTTATCTCCCAAGAATGTGAGAAATGTCTTTGGCATAACGCATATTCTTTAATGTGCAAGGTCAGTTGCCTTTCAATCACCTTTTAAAGAGGATTGTCATTAAAATTTTCTCAGAAGTCCCTCATCATACAGAAACTTGAAAATATTCAGTGAGCCCTGATTGCTACAACTAGGCACAAGGAAGGCAAAGAAGATGCCCACTGGAGGGGGACTCCAGCAGTGGTAATCAAGATAAATCTAATGATATGAGTAGAGTTTAGTTTCTGGAAGGAACAATAATCTTCATAGGGTGTCTGAGGTTAAACCTAGGACTCCACAGAGATGCTGATATTCAGGGGGGTCTTACCTTCTCTGCAGGACAAAGATGGAAAGGAACTGTCAGATGAGGACATACGAGCAGAGGCTGACACTTTCATGTTTGGAGGTGAGGGTCCTAGTGTGGATCTATGCATTGTGTGTGGTATCTCCATCCAGGAATGTGGAAGTTAGGTCCTGGATCTCCCCATTCTGCCCATGCTTCCCATCCCTGCTTCCTCCCTGGGGTCTCAATGGATGGGCGCTGTCCACCCTGTGGTGCTGAAACAGCTCAGAGATCCAAGTTGGCTGTTCCTCAGGCCATGACACCACAGCCAGTGGTCTCTCCTGGGTCCTGTACAACCTGGCGAAGCACCCAGAATACCAAGAGCGCTGCCGGCAGGAGGTGCGAGAGCTCCTGAGGGGCCGTGAGCCTGAAGAGATCGAATGGTGAGTGCAGGTTCTGACAGCCTGTGCGTGAGCCCCCTTTACTGCTACTCTCTGGCTGGAGCAGAGGGATTATTATGTTGTTTATTATGCCGTTATTGTCTTGTGAGTGTAGGCGCTGATTCCAGAAACAGGCCCTAGCACCCAGCCTGAGCAGCAAAGGGGAAGTCTTAGGAACAGAAAGACCTGGGCTGCTGAGAAAATTAGTGACAATGTATGAGGGCAGACAATGCCACTTTACATATGTTCAATACGTACACTACCCCCCTTTCTTTCTTTTTCTGTCAAATTCTATTTTTTCACTATCTTCTCTTCCTGGAGGTTTGGAGTTCACTTGTATCTGAATTCCTACTCTAACATTCAGTCCAGGGATTCATAGGGGACACCTGTGGTCGTAAAGTTGTCTATTATCTAGCATGCCTATGTCATTCTTCCATCCATCCTGCATTCAGTGAATATTCCCTCTGCCTTTCCATCCCCTGTTCTATCTCACCCTTTCTGTGCTACAAAAGACTGGGACAGACCCAGCTCAAGGATCTGCTTTCCACAAGCCTACTTTCTCTGGGGTAGGAAAGTCCTAGATATGAATACTTTTCTAGTTCTTTTTCTTTGCTAATCTCAATGATGTGACTTGCCTAGGAATTATATTATTACATGGAGAAAAGTTTGCACTGGGAAATGTGGAGCTAGTAGTTTGTTTTCCTCCCCTTGGATAGCTGTTGGTTGTGGTTTCCTTAGGGACGACCTGGCCCAACTGCCCTTCCTGACTATGTGCATCAAGGAGAGTCTGCGGCTGCACCCTCCCGCCACAGTGGTCTCCCGCAGCTGCACCCGGGACATTGTGCTACCAGATGGTCGGATCATCCCCAAAGGTGCCACAATGGGTAGAGGTAGGAACAAGCATTCATCTAGCTGTGGGGCCTTGTCCTGACAATGTCTTCTTCTTCCACAGGTGTTATCTGCCTCATCAGTATTTTTGGTACCCATCACAACCCAGCTGTGTGGCCCAACCCTGAGGTGCTGCTTCTGCCCCGCACTCCCCACTCACCCCATCCCACCCCTGCCTCATTCTTCTTTCTTACCAGGGCCTCAAGGAGGGGGAGGCCATCTGAAGGGGGAAATCCACCCCTGCCACACCTGCATCTGATTTTTCCTGTTGGTTTGGTTTCTCTCCAGGTCTATGATCCCTTCCGCTTTGACTCAGAAAACAGCAAGGACAGGTCACCTCTAGCTTTTATCCCCTTTTCTGCTGGGCCCAGGTGAGAACAGTGGCTACCTGAGCTGGGGATGGGCTGAGGGGGACAGTGTCTGGGCATCACACAAAGGAAATCAGGGACAGTTTTGGATGGTCCCAGTACTCAGTTGGCTTCCAGCTGCCTATACAGGTTACATGCAAAGATGTGGAGGAGGGTTGGGTAGGTGTGGAAGGGGCCCGCTGTGGGCTCAGAACCCTGCATTTGTCACTTTTGATCTGAGTTGGGTGCTGGAGTCTAGGAGTACACACACAGTTCAATTGGCGTCCAGGCAAGGTTAGCAGATGTCACTGACCCTGGAGCTGTTCATCAGGGTAGGGTGGAGTCCCTTGACAGGTTCAGGAACAACGGACTTTTTCATGGTTCCCTCCCTGCCCACCTGTCTTCAGGAACTGCATTGGGCAAACCTTTGCCATGACTGAGATAAAGGTGGTGCTGGCACTGACTCTGCTGCACTTCCGTCTCCTGCCCGATGACACGGAACCTCGCAGGAAGCCAGAGCTGATCTTGCGCGCAGAGGGCGGGCTTTGGCTGCAGTTGGAGCTGCTCAGTGCAGACGCCTAGGAGGATCTCAGGCCTAATTTGGAACCCAGCTGACTATACCTTCATTGGCGAATATGAATAAACTGTGCTGTCATCTATGGCTGAGCCTCAGTGAGCACCCTTAGGGGAGCTGGGGACCCATGGGTGGGTGTGGTTGGAAGAGGAGGACCTGGTGGTATTTAGGTACCCTGACTGCCTCTCTGGTTAAGCACAGCACTTCTGCACTAATGGTGGATTCTCTTACTGTTCAAGCACAGATGTATTTGCTTGTAGGGCATGGCTGCAGGAGGTATTTGTGCAGCAAAGGAGTAGGAATGAAAGGAGGACTTCAGGTACAAGATCGAGGCTCTGAATTAGACCTCTTTTTGTGTAAAGTGAGGGTAGGTGCAGCACTGAGGGCTTTGGGTTGTACAGAGCACAGGGAAGGAGGGCCTGCAGGTTCTCCTGGGCTCTTAGTCCTTTTCCTGCTGTGCAAAGCCCCATCCCTCTGTCTGTTCCTCTCAGGGGCATTCAAGCAGAGACTGATGGAGGTGCTGTAGCTCCTGGTGCATGATTCACCCTTTTATTGGATAACAAACTGGATGCCCCAGACCATTTGTCTCCCAGCCCCAGAATAGTTAGCCATTTTCAGGTCCTGATGACTGGTATGGGTATGAGGCTGCTGTTACTACTTATTTGACCGTGAACAGATAGTTTGGATTCAGGCAAAGCCTCCCTAAATACAAAGATACTGACCTAGGTCACTGTTTACAGCCAAACAGAGTAGATGTTCAGGAAGAAAACATACATTTAAGGCCTTTTTCTAAGACAAGCCAAGGACATATCTCTGTCACTTGTAAAATTTAGCCCCAACTCCATAGTCCAGCCTCTGTCCATGGTCCATCTCCTCCTTCCTGCTGCCCTAACATATGGCCATGATGCTAGCAAACATTTTTCTACTCTCTACATTTGCTAATTTCAGTCCCTGTCACTGAAATGTTCTTTCCTCTATCAGTCAAGAAAATTCATATTCTTCCTTTAAAGTCTAGAGAACAATTTCTCCCTCTTCAATTTTCCATAATTCCCAGAAAATATGGCTATCTTAGCCCTTCATATTGTGTTGTGGTTGCTGGCTTGTGGATCTGGGACTGGGAATGATTTAGTTCTGTACCTTCAGTGCCTGAAAATGTCCTAAGCACACAGCAGTTAGTCAATGTATAACTCACATATGCAGTTCAACAGAAGCCTCTACTATTGTCCAAGAGACCCGCATGCTTTGTGTCTAGTTGTGCCCCCCAAAGCCTCATTTAGTCATGGGGCAGGAATTCTAGAGTTTGAGATTAAGTCATGATCCACTGGGATTATGGGCGATCCATGGCTGGGATTATGGATGTGTATACTTCCCCCAGCCTGGGTCAGAGAGCCTGAATGTGACATAAGAGTGACAGAGAGACAGACTTCCTCTCTGTTGCCATTGTTATTGTTCCACCACTATGAACTGGATGCTCTCTGCCTTGTATCACTCTGCCTTGGAGCCAGCCAAGTATGGACTGAAACCTCCAGTAAGTGTGAGTTAAATAAACCTTTCCTTCCTTCTTTTTGGGTGTTGGGTATTTGTCCCAGCAACGAGAGAAGAGTAACTGAGACACGACCAAATTCTCAGACCTAGTGGATCTTCATATTCAGTGTCCTGTAATGGAACTCTTACACGCAGGTTTTCTGAACACAGTGAATTCCACACACCCTGTTCATAAGAACACAATTAACAGTTTGGGCTACATTGATAGGGAAGTCCTGTTATTACTCTCAGTGGGCAGATGAGGCTGAGCCCAAGTTTGAGTGTGCTATCAAATAAATATTTGTGCTTCCTCAAACTACATATATTAAAATCCTAATCCTCAGTGGGATAGTGTTAGAAGGCAGGCCCTTGGTAGGGGATTAGGTAATGAAATCTACATACTCATGAATGGGCTTAGGTATCTTTATAGTAGAGACCTCAGTCACCTGGTTCTGTCCTTTTCCACTTGAGAACATAGTAAAAACATGATCTAAAAACAATGAAGTAGATAATCATCAGCCACTGAAACTGTTGGTAGCTTGATTTTGAATTTCCAGCCTCTAGCACTAACAAATAAATTTCTGTTATTCATAATCCACCCAGTCCACAGTATTTTGTGATAGCTCTCTAAATGTGGAGTGCTAAACAAATAGATAAAGCACATTTTGACTTCCCCTCAGCGTTACATCAGAGTCCCTTGTTCTTCCTGGAGATGGGCTGTTTCAGAAATACCACAAAACATTATTCTTTCCATAAAAGATAGGATTGCCACATTGCCCCATACTTCTCGTCCATATGTTACTGTAGGGGTAAGGTGTATCTCTGGCCCAAAGGAAACAAAAAACAGTCATAGCCCCTCTGACATTCTTGTGCTTGGGACCAAGCTGTTCTCTCCTTTCAGCATATGTTTGTCTTTTAAAAGAACACTGCTCCATGTTCCGATGTGTAGGCCTCCTTTTGTCTCCCCTGTTGACCTCCTTAACCAAGTGGCCTAATCTAAATAAGCTCTTACATTTGGTATTCTTACTCTAGTCCTGGCAAGTTATTTTACCCATCTGGCCTCTGCAGTGTTGTCTCACACAGCACTATGAACTTTAACACTTAATGCTCTGAGGTCAATGCCATGTTTACTGAATAAAACCCAGAGGGCTCAACAGTATACATACTGAAAGAGCTCATATGGTGTTACATAGCAACAGTGTATAAAACATTTTCAAAAGAGAGACAGTCACTACCAAAAAATAGCCAAACATGTGACTGAGAGCCAGAAGTTAGCCTGTAGTTGGCCATGCTGAGCAGCAACTGAGAGCGCACAGGGCAAAGGACTCCTGACACCATACCTACTCCTTTTGGATGCTGCAGATAAGAAATTACACTCGAAAAATACACATACACTGGGATGCAACTGAGAAAGAATATGCAACTCAATTCCAACAGTTGATACACTCATCTTCCAGAGCCTTAATTCCTCCTGGGTATTCCCTTAAGTCAACTCTATAGTACCACTAGGCCGCTAAATCCTAGGGAAAATGTGAAAAAAAATGCCATGGCAATAGGGCATATGTGGAAGCTGCTGAACAGCATAGGACATCTGGTCAACCACATATTTGGGGCTGAGGGTCCAAAGTTGACAAGGAAAAATCTGGAGACTAGGGATGGCATCACCAGGTTCCAGGTACCCCTGGTATCTTTGAAATGTTTGAGGCAATTATTTCTGGTGATTTGATCCATTTAGACTCTGTTTAGGTCTGGACTGCCCATCCTAGAGTCATTGAAAATCCTGGCATCTCTCAGACAGAGAGGACTTCTTTAAAGGAAGATGCTCAAGAGTGTGGGCTTCCAAAGATTAAGGACCCAGCAAAGTGCCTTTCTTGTTGAGTCTAAAGAGGGTCCAGCTCCTTAGCACTATCCAATTTATTTATGAGCTTCTGGCCATCATTCTGTCATTACATTCACTTCACGGGTGAGGAAATAGAGTTTAATAAGCTGAGGACTCAACACATACATGGTGGATATGGGACTGAAGAAGTCCAGATAATTCTCCAGAAATTATGAAAAACTATCAACCATAAATCCGAGAAACTCAGAGAATCCCTAGTAGGCTAAGGGATGTACGTATACAGAGACACACACAGCTTTAGGATGCATTCTGGTCAAAATGGTGAGAATCACAGATAAAGAAAATATCAGGATTGTGGCCAGAAAAAAATAGGACACAAAATGATCCAATGCATGAAAAATTCCCTGAGAAGTTGGTTAATCACAAATAGATTTTTCATAAACTTGCACTCACTTCTCTTTGCTGCACTGTATTCTTCACTCGATCTTTTACAGTGCTGGAGATGGAAACCAGGGCCATGTGCATGCTAGGTAAGTGCTGTGCTACTGAGCTCCACTCCCAGCTCTCTACATTTAAATGTTGAAGTAATAGGGCTGGAGCTGGGGCTCTGTAGTAGAGCACTGGCCTAGCATATGTGAAGCCCTAGGTTTGATCTCCAGGACTGCAAAGCAAATAAATAAGTTTTAAAGTAATAGATAAATGCATGGAGAAAAATTTTCACCATGAACCCAGAAAAAACATGTGTAATGACAGATAATCTGTTCTAACCACAGTTTTATCTCCAACAAAATATAGTATCTTTTCTAATGAGATACTAGTTTTCTTGTTCAAAAACTAGAGTAGGAAAGACATGAAGGATCACAAACTGATTCTGAAGAAGGTACTGATCCACCAACTTAGAGGAAATTCATGGAAAGTCTTTAGGTAAAATGCCTTCCCTAAAGTTGATGGTAGCATATCTAAAGATCTTGAGGGCCTTGCTGAGTCAGGAAGGAAAGATATGACAGACAGTTCATGTGGGGTAGACATTTCCTATCATAGCATGGGTGTGTCTCTGCTTAAATCTTGAGGGTTGTGAGCTGCTTACAGGAGAAGGTGCTGCAGCCATGACTGATGGTAGACACTGTGGATCAGAGGACAAACATGGTCATACCCCAACAGAAGAAAACTCTCTGTGCATGTCCAGGAAACCAGGTGAGTCAAGAATCTAGAGGTAGGAGTGACTTTACCCACTTAGATGTGCTGGGTCCAGGTCTTTTTATTGACCTGACTCCAAAAAGAGAGGAGGAAGCTTAATGCGATTATATTCCCTATGATATGATACTCCCTATGATATAATTGCCCATTCTTGTGACTGTCGTCTGACCTAGCACTTCAGAGATGAGTGACTCAGCCTCATTCTTGATTAGAATGATATCTTAGAGTGGTTGACTCTCCTTGCACTGGTGTGTGTGTGTGTGTGCATGTGTGTGTGTGTGTGTATGTGTGTGTGTGTACTGACCCCTATTCTTTCCCTAGAAGTTGATTCTCTCTCTCTCTCTCTCTCTCTCTCTCTCTCTCTCTC